AGGAAGAGGGAGAAAGATAGAAACATCAATAGGGAGAGAGCCATTGATGGGTTGCCTCCAGCACATGCCCCAACTGTGGGCTGAACCTGAAACCTGGGTATGTGCCCTGACTGGGAATTAAACCCTCCACCTTTTGGTGTATGGGATGATGCTCCAACCAACTGAGCCACACTGGCCAGGGCTAGATCTAGGTATTTTTAAGGGGCTCTATCTTTCTATGCCAAATGCAAAGTAGGCTCTCAGGACTTGAAGAGGAAAACAAAAACCACTTCCATAAACAGAGGATGGCGGACAAGTATACATTTGTTCCTTACCAGAAAATCCCTAACAAGGAACAAAAATATATAGGAGGGAGAGGATTGCGATCTAGAATGTCAGATAAAATGGCAGGAACAATTACTAAATACAAGCATAAAACATTCTCACAAAATGTCTTCAAGCTTTTGGTGCAGAGAGTGTCATTAGTTCAAACAGGGGAAGGAACAGGGGAGGAGTCAACCTAGAGCAGACAGACAAGCAGCATGTAACCGGTTCTATCATACCCCTGGCAAAGGCAGAAGCTTAATTAATGTGATACACAAAGCTTGGGGACTTTTAAATTTCAATAAAAGCTAAGGAAGCAATGGCTTCACTTGGAAATGAACAGATTTTACACTTTCAAACACTGATGGAACCGTGGTTTTAGGAAGAGACTAACTTCTTAGGGACAAAGGCTGCGTCTAAGCCTTTCTGGGTGCCCTCTTCATCTGGAACTAGAGTACCTGAGGTAGTGGAGAAAATAACACCTAGCAGATTGTGTATTTAATCAACTCTGTAAAACACCAAAAAATGGGGCAATATAAAAGAAATATGAGGCTGTAGTATCAATTAAATAAATATGGGCATGTAGGATCAATTTGGACTCAAACAAGGAAGTCTTCAGACCAAGAATGCTTTGTAGGAGTCCAACTGGGGAACATAAAATAATCACTCTTATTTTTTACAGCTATTATATAATTATTCATTTAATGCCAGACCAGAATATATTAGAAAATGGCCATTGCTAAACCAAGAATCTTATTTTCATCTTTAACAAAATGTCTTTTTCAAGAATCACATTCCACTTATTTTTGAAAGAAAGGTCCAGTTGTGGCAATCAGATTTCTCTTTAGTGTCTGTATTAAACAAAAGGGTATGTTTCCTAAGGATAAAGATTTGATCACAGTTATTGTTTTATTCTGATGCTTAGCAAAAGGCCCAGGATATAAATATTTTTTGAATGAATAAAAGCTACAACTTGAAAATACTTCCATAATGTTTTCTTATAGTTCAGTATTCTACTTCTTCATCTAGCATTTAAAAGATGTGATAAAGCAGGTGAATACCTCGAGCCTACATTGATCCCCTAAATGGTCAACTCTAGGAGAAGACAGAGTATTAATGTCTTTGTCTGTTACGGTCTTTCCAAGAAGTGCATTCTCTTTCATCCAGAGAGAAACACAACAACTTAGATATAGAGGTAAAAAAATAAATAAATCCGGGTTATAAAATCATTAACTATTTACAGAAGAGAGCCCCAAGAAAGTAAAACTTTCTCTGGGCACAAGTCCTTGTGAAAACACATAGCAAAGAAATTGGCAAGCATGTAATCGGATACTCCACCCAAACACATTTAGAAACGTGCATGTGTTTTCCTGTGATGAACTCCTTCTATCTATATTAAACATCATGGTAGCTGCTGATCGGCTCTGTTGTGTGAAAAGGTAAACAGGTCAAAACTCAAAGAAACCAAGGGCAATAAGCTACCAACGACACCTGCCACGATCACTTTTCAACACAAAACACTGAATTGTGCTTTCTAAATTGCAATGGTCAAAAACTGCTCCCCAATTTTGTGTTTGTATTACTCACTGAGCAAATATTTAGTGAGAACCTGTAATGTATTGGGCACTATGCTAGATGCTGGGAATATAGCAGTAAATAACATGGACATGAGAGGGGACCAATTAAATTAAATGGTTGCTACAAAGGAAACCACGGGATGTCTTGGGAATATTGAACAGAACTGTCATAGCCTGTGTTTGTGTGTATGTAAGTATGTTCAAGGTGAGATGTGAAGATCAATTATAGGTTAGTTCTGAATTACTCAATGAAGTAGCCACCAGCCACATGTGGCTACTGAGCACTTGATACTGGCTAGTCTGAATTAAGATTAGACTAGATGTAAGTGTAAAATATACTTCAAAGGCCTAGTACAAAAAAAAGAATGTAAAATGTCTCACTTTAAAACACTGATTACATGTGGAAATTAAAATGGTTTGGATAAAGTAGGATAAATAAAATAATGTGTTTTTTTTTTACTTTATTAATGTGGGTACTAGTAAATTTTAAATTATGTATGTGCATGGATTTGTGGCTCACATTTAGATTGGACAGTGTTGGGTTAGATCTAGGTAGGAGGGAGAAGAGGCAGAAAGAACAGTATATATACGGGCTCTAAAAAAAGACCATGGATACTTCAAGAATGGAAAGCCAGAGAAACTACCAGAGTGAGTAGGAGAGTGACTTAAGATGAAGTTGGAGAGGTAGGTGATTTAAAAAATAAGTGCCTATAATTTCAATTCTAGAAAGCTGAAATTTCTTTCTCCCACTTCTGATCTCAGTAACAAACCACTTTAGTATAAAAAAGTATTCTCAACTCTTCCTGGTGGGGTCAACATTCCAGCCCCTATTGCTATAAGGTTACTACATTAGTGCATTGATAGCTATAATCAAATCCACCAGGTGAGGTAGACTATGTGGGGATTTAAATGAAATTTCTTTAGTGTAATTAATTGCCTATTTAGATGTTGGCAGTGACGTCCTCTTAACTGTTTCTGGGGCTAAGACTGAAAATTCTTACTTCTTAGGCTTCTTTTATTTACAAATCTTGCCCAGCAAAAACTACCTCTGATTGAATACTTTAGCTCAAAGTTTACTTTCTTCCTTTCACCTTTGCCTTTGAGTCTGTGTATGAAATGGAAAATATAGAGGAATCAACAGTGCCTCTGGGTCCACAATTCATTCTAAATGTGGCCTTCTCATCTTTAGACTGAACAGATTTATTCTGAGCTGAGTATGCCTCCAAAACATCATAAAAAACTACTCTATTTCAAACATGCCAATGGACTAGATGCAGAAGACCCCAAGTGCTCTATGCTTTATATTTCATAGTGAAGAATAAAATTGGTCACATCAGGATAGCCACAATCTCTGTAACCTTCTCAATTTCCTCCCATCCTCCTGCAATTACTTACAAAGATCCATAATGTGGTTCCTGCAGATGGCACAGTTATCAACCACAATATCCCAGGCCCACAGGGCTACTGCATTCCACTGCAAAGAGAAGATGGGGGGGGGGGGAAACAA